CAAAGAAAAAAAGTAACGCAGTTACTAGTAAAGTTACCAAAAAAGTAACTTGTAACTGTAACTTCGTTACAAGTAACGAGTTACTTCCATTCCCTGTTAATATTATTAATCAAGCACGTACATGATATAAAAATGATGCTAATGTCGCCTGAATATTTTTGTATGCAGTATTTTTTTGAAGAATATCATAATTGCGAACATTTTGTCATATAATAATCATGTTATTAGTATTAATAACGAGATTAACAAGTAGTTTTAAAATTTATAATAAATACTCTCATTCATTGCTCTTTATATCAAAAAATGTGCTTATACATTACAGGAAATACCATATATGGTATCGTAACTCATCACTGTTAGATGTCAAAGGAGCAATGGCAACCCCGAAGTTTCTTGAGTTAAATAACATTTTATTATCCTTTTACTTCCATGTGTATCAAAATGTTAATCAGTCTATTTCTGTACTTATTTCAACATAAGTAACGTTCACATTAACGTATGTAAGTAAATAAATTATAGAGTCAAATTAAGACATCTTCTTGAGTTAAATGATTTAACTGCATCATTAAATTAATGACGTATTGAGAAAAGTGAGGAGAAGGATGTCGTAATTTTACAATATTTTGATAAGCATTTTTTTAATATTACTCGCGCGAATATATTTTTATGTAATAATAATAATATATCTTTTTATAATAATAATAAATCTTTTTAAAAATATAAATTTTTTAATGTTCCAAAGTAGTCAACGGAGGAATGACGGTATTTGGAATAATTCGTGCATAAAAAAATTAGAGTGGAATAGGCCTACTGGGAAAATCACTATAAAAAAAGCGCACCATGCTATCTATCTCATGACAGGTGGTGTGGAAATGATAGCATTTTATCATTTTCTTTGGTCATAGACATTTCGAAGGGTGAAATCAGGCCTCATGTGTGAAGTGATTTTCAGCTTTCTCCGCTATATCTCAAAAACTATTCTGATTTTAATGAAACTTCGTGAACTTGTAGCTTACATAAAGAGATGAATTTAGAAAATATCAGTTGCGGCACAAAAACGGTTTGAAGGGGTGAAATCAATTACTTTTCACCTTCGAAAAATATTCGAGATATAAAAAAATATTTTATACAAAAGTTTTATAATAAAATTACTTCTATTTACTCACGTCAATAATATTTTTTTAGAATAATTATTTAACAATTTTTTTTCGAAAACTGACAAAAAATTGATAAATAATTGTTTTGAAAACGCGAATGAATACAGCTGATTTTGTTGTAAAACTTTTGTATAAAATATATTTTTATATCTCAAATATTTTCCGAGATATAACGGAAAAAGCTGAAAATCGCTATATACGTTAGGGGTGATTTCACCCCTTCAAGCCGTTTTTGGGCCGCAACTGATATTTTCTAAATTCATCTCTTTATGTAAGCTACAAGTTCACGAAGTTTCATTAAAATCAGAATTTGTCATCTCGAGAGGTTCCCTTATTAGACATTTTATCAAGACGAATTTGTTATACAAAAATTAACACTAACGTGTGACTGCGTGTATCATAGGTTGCATGAGATATTGTTGTGATAGTATATAAAAACATGTCGATGCGCTGGAAAAACAGCGACCTCTGGTGACTTCGTCGAAGTTCGAAGTTCGCTTTAAGATCCCTTTAAGCCTTAATTCATAAGAAATGGACGAATCATAGTCAATTATTCTCCTCGCATTCAACTGTAACCCCGGATACAGTATGTGTCTTAAGCCTTAAGCCGCAAGAAATTGACCAATTACAGTCGAATCCGAGAAGAATAAGCGACTGTGATTCACCCATTTCTTATAGCTTAAGGCTTAAAACTCTGTTGTAGATCCAGACTAATTGGTCAAATTCTTACGGCTTAAGGTTTAAAACACCTAGTAAATTAAAATTTACCAAATTTCTACACTCGATACCAGATCAGGGATGGTTTATAACATCACGATCAACGCTATCAGTCGACGGCCTAGCGCAACCGAAGTAGCCACACACATGAGTTGTCTATATAATGTCACACAGACGGTTTATGTGAACACTCATGCTCATTTGAACATTAAGTCTACTGGCATCTTTAGTTTCATAGAAAATTCTTCTCAATCTTGTTGCAGTTAGTGTAGACAATATCATTTTAGAAACTTTCTATCATGTCCAAATATTAATCTGTTTGAAGAACCTATGCATTATTTGAAAACTAGATATCTAGAAATTTATCTAATAACTTTGAAATATTTATGTATTCCTGGCAGTTCTGTACCAGTAGAACGATTATTCTCTGCCACTGGGTATATTATTTCTGAATGAAGAAATTATCTCCCAAAAATGTAAAAATTTTAAGTTTTTTAAATAAAAATTACAAACTTATAATCTAAAAAAGTTGTATTCTAAAAACACTTCTATTTTAACATGTTTTAATTATAAAAAAGATTGTATTCTAAATAAGTTTATACGCAAATATGTACAAATAAAGAAATGAAGGTTTTTAATTCAGTTATAATTTTTATTTACTTTAATTACTTTTCAATAGGCTAATAAAAAAGAAAACAACTTTAATTGAACGATTATAAATTGATTAATCGATTATCTCAAAAAATAATATAATTGATTATAATCGATTTGGGTTCGCAGCATAATCGATCTAATCGATTTCGCAAAATGATTGATTATGCCTATCACTAATATGTATGTTGTTGTCTAGAATGATAGATGTAAAGCTTGTAAGTGAGGTGCCTATAGTCAAATAATAAATAGTATGTTTTTCATTCCTGCACTAGATTGCACTAGAACTCTATTTCTCGTTTTCGACAAACGTAGTATACCTACCTCACTTTAAGTTCCAAAAGTGTACACTACCCAGACAGCACAAAATACTAAAAAATAACGAAAAGAGGTCTTTTTTAAGTCGTCTTTCCGACAAAACGAAAAGGTGTCTAAAAGATGATGAAAAGACATTGTTTTTAGATTGTCTTTTCAGCAAGATCAAAAGATATCTATAAAACATCTTTTAGCTTTGTCGAAAAGACAACTTAAAAAAGATATCTTTTCGTCATCTTTCTATGGTTGTCATTTTCGCAAAGCGAAAGGTCGACTAGAAGATATCTTTTCGTATTGCCGAAAAAATAACATGAAAAAGATATCTTTCCGTTATTTTGGTACTTTTTATAAGTCATTCACGAGCAGTATGCGAGATCGCCATCAGAACACGAGAAACTGAACTCCATCACGTTTAGATGAACGTGATGGAGTTCAGTTTCTCGTGTTTGAAAATCATACAGGACAGAATAAAAGGTGCAGCATAATGAAAAATTTTACTCGTGTTCTAATAAACACTAATAAAATATTTTTTTGTAATCGAGTCCCCAAAGAGGACTATGACGAAAGATAATGACTTGCACATAGGACACGGCAAACATTGCAGGAAATGGGACGAATATTGTCAGTCATGCAATTTTATTTCGTTTTGTGTAAAAATTAATTTAGGAATTAGATGTATTAAACGTTATATATATCAAAATATAAAAACTAAAAGAAGTATTAAAGATGACTAAAAGATATCCAAAGAAGTGATCCTTTAGTTATCATATGGATAAGACTATAAGGTGACTAGCAGTGCGACATTTGTCGTCTTTTAGTCATCTTTTCGTCGACTATATTCTTTCACTAAAAGATATCTTTATAATAATTTAATTGTCTTTTAGTCATCTTTTAGACGACTTTGTGCTCTCTGGGTAGTTCAGCCACAGAAAACACACTTTAAAGACTTTAGTTTAATAGCTTATTCGACAATAAAATAAATTCTGATTAAAAAACCATAGAAATTTGTAAGTAAAAAAAGCAATTGTAACAATAAATTACGAAATGTACTTCACTGTTACATAAACGTTGATGTATATAATATAATATAATTGACTTACATGATAAAGAACGAATATCAAATAACTACAATGTGAATTTAAAGTGTGATGATCTTGTGAAAGACGTTAAAGTTAACATGCTTTCGTTGAACTGACTGTTTTATTATTGGATAAACTGTTAAACATGAAGCTCTGCTAATATTTGACCATGCATCCCACAAGCTCTACGACGGTTCATTCTAAAATATAACCATTGTATTAATTACAAGACTTAATTTGAATATAAACCTAACTTTGTATTGATTATGATCCGACACTCGAAAAGTATATTATAGTACTTTTTAATACTAGAAGGATCGAATAAAGGAGCCAAATTGAGTCTAACGCGTAACGATCTTTTTAGGTAGGCAATTAAATAAAAATTTAATCATTTTATACAATTGAAAATTTTTTCACTAAAGTTAAGAATATGAAAAATGATGAAAAGTCACAAAAGGATATCACATGGAAACAAAATTGGAAAAGTTATATTAGTTTGAATCTCACGAGGAGCCAACTTGGCTATCTCGGTCCTTAAAAGTAATGTTAAATCAATAAAACGATATTTATGCGAATGTTTATGTGAATATCTTCTGTGTTCGTTTAGTGTTGATACTGTTATTACACGTCACATGATTTATTTGTTCTGAGACTAATTCTTTCACTTGATCTTAAAAAAGTAACTATAAGAATATTAATTTGAAGTTTATTAGGAAATTGGTGCGCGCACACACACACACACACACACACACACACACACACACACACACACACACACACACACATTTAACTGTATACATTCATCCCAATAGAAACGGACTAATTAGAAAAAAATAATATACCTTGCTAACATACTCATAGGTTCCTTCTTGGTTAAAGTATTCCTAGTTGTGGTAAAATATTTTCCTCCAACATTCAGTGTAATCCATTCCCAATTCTTGTTTAGTTGATTATAGCTCAAAATTTTATTTGCATGTATAAAATTTTCCCCATTTGAAACATATAAAATGTCATCATCTCTGCAAAGAAAAATTGGGAAATATTTTATTAATCCAAAATATTTTAACGCATTATTATGTCTAAACAAAATATAAAAGTAAACAAGCTTTTTACCTAATGAGTTTAATATCATCAATTTCACCACCTTGCGACGTAAAAATTCTCTTTGCAGTTATTTCAAATTTTGCGCTAGCTGCCGTTAATAATTCATCTAACGAGTGCGTCACTACAAACACCTACAATAAATATAATACCATATCATAATAAATTACTGAAATTAAATATTTTAATCAAATATATTACTTTGAAAAGAAATACAGATACAACTGTAAAAAAATTATGTCAATATAATTTGATGCAATGAAAAATATTACAAGATTAAATGAAAAAACTTTTAGGGGCAATTACTTATTTATTTAAGAAAGTACTTGAAACAAAACTGTTACAAATAAGTCTCAATTTTAATCAAAGCTCCAACGAATAAATCCAAGGATAAATGTGAAATCAGCCAATGCGAGCCAACACAAGTTAGACGTGTAAATTCATATATTTAAATCTTGAAAAGGATTACAGATGTTTCAACCCATTCAATTGGGTCTTCTTCATTGATGACAAAATCCGTTAGTATAATAAAATATGAGAGATAAAATACACTACTCAACAAACTTAAAGGATCACTTGTTCCACTCTGCAAAAATAGGCAAATTTCGAGATACAATAACTTCGTCAAAAATCATCGTATCGAGATTTGTAAAAAAGCATTTTAAAGCTTGAAATCTTTACTTTTCAAACCTGTACTTTAAAAAATTATATTACTCATATTTCATAAAGTTACACAAACATAAATAAAGATGCATCAGATCTCAAAATTTTTTACGAAATTTGCGAAGTTTCACGGAGCCAACTAAAAATTGTACACAAATGCGGTTTACAGCTTCCGAAAGAGTGAATCTTTACCTTCAATTTCGATTTTTATCAAGCTTCGTACGATTTTTTTTTACCGAATTATTCAACGTCGAAGTAAAAAGAAATGTTTTTGCTTCAACATTTAATAACTCGGTGAAAAAATATCGCACAGAGTTCAACAAAAAAGCAAATTAAAGCTAAAAATTCTATCTTGAATTGTAAATCACTCAGTATATATATATAATATAAAAAACATTGTGTACTAATGATTAATAACCATTTTAAAGAGAAAGTATTAAATTTAATTTACAATTAAAGAAATTTGTTATGGCTTTAAAATGCTTTTTCGAATATCGCTTCGCGACCATTCTTCGCGGGGATATGTGAAATTTGAATTTGGTTTTTTAAACGCTGATTATAAATAACTAATTTTGTTGAGAAGCAACAGGCCAAATCCAAGATAGAAAAACTTCGTCAAAAACCATCATATCAAGATTTTTAAAAAAGCATTTTAAAGCTTGAAATCTCTACTTTTCAAACCTGTACTTTAAAAAACCGTATTATTCATATTTCATAAAGTTACACAAATATATTAGGTATGGGAATGAGTTTCCGCCCATTAGAGAGATGTCGTTAGTAGCACTGCTTATGAGTTTGATAAAACGGCAATACATGTATTTGAAAGGTGTGTGTTCAAGCTTTTGAGCCCAGTAGTTGATATTCGTTTGAAGCGATTTGTTTGAACTAAGCTTTGGAACAAAAACAGTAGGAATGGGACAATAGGCATGATAAGCTGATTCTGCTGCGTGACAACGTTATGTCACACGTTGCAAAACCGGTCAAGAAATACTTGGAAGGAGTGAAGTGGGAAATTCTGCCCCACCCGCCGTATTCACCGGATATTGCTTCTTCAGATTTCCATTTGTTCCGGTCCATGCTGTCGGCCCTTTCTGGAGAGCGATTCAATTCTTATAAAGATATCAAAAAATGGCTTGATAAATGGATCGCTTCTAAAGAACCAGATTTCTTCCTTCGAGGAATCTGTTTATTACCTGAAAGGTGGGGGAAAGTTGTCGTTTCTGATGGAGCATACTTTGAATGAACTTACTTTGTATTGTGTTGTTTAAATAAATACATCTTTTTCATTTAAAAAGGGCGGAAACTTATTCCCATACCCAATAAATGAATTAAGATCTGATGCATCTTCAAGTTTTTTTCTCAACAAGTTTTTTTACGAAATTTGCGAAGTTCCACGGAGTCAAGTAAAAATTGTGTACAAATGCGGTTTACAGCTTTCGAAAGAGTGAATCTTTACCTTTAATTTGCTTTTTCGTTGAGCTCTGTACGATATTTTTTCATCGAGTTATTCAACGTTGAAGCAAAAACGACCCTTTTTGTTTCGACGTTGAATAACTCGGTGAAAAAAAATTATACGAAGCTTCATAAAAAACAAAATTGAAGATAAAGATTCACTCTTTCGAAAGCTGTAAACCGTATTTGTGTACAATTTTTACTTGGCTCCGTGGAACTTCGCAAATTTCGTAAAAAATTTTGAAATCTGATGCATCTTCATTTATGTTTGTGTAATTTTATGAAATATAAGTAATACGATTTTTCAGAGTACAGGTTTGAAAAGTAGAGTTCAAGATTTAAAACGCTTTTTCAAAAATCGCAATACGAGGATTTTTGACGAAGTTTTTCTATCTATAAATTTGCCTATTTTTGTAGGGTGGAACAATCCTTTAATTTTGTTGAGTAGTGTATAATAAAATTACGTACGGTTTACAAGAGATCCGGGTTCAGGTCCCGGTCGAGGTAATATTTTTCGCA